GAGAATTATCATTAGATGAAGGCATGATTCCCTGGAGGGGATGTCTTCTATTTCAAACTTACAACTCAGCTAAAATTATTAAATATGGTTTACTTGTAAGAATGGTATGTGAGAGCAAGCCTGGGTATATTTGCAATATGGAAATTTACACAGGTGAAGGAAAAAAATTGAATGACTTTATTCTGTCACTACTTTGACCGTATCTGGAATTGGGGCATCACATATACCAAGATAACTATTACAATAGAGTTTCAATTGCAGAAGTAATGGTAAGAGAAGAGAAATGCATTACATTTGCCAGCTTTGTTTAGTTCCACTTCATATTACACAGTGTTTTACAAAGTATCATACTTTAAAAAGATATTAGCTTGTAAGAGCATGCAATAAATAACTTCAAAATGCAATGGGTATTTAATTTTAAAGTGTGCCTTTAACATTTATGTAAAATGTTTTTTGTACTCATTCAATAGAAACTTATCTGGCCACTGGGTGAAGCTAGCAATAAAACTACTGGTCCGCAATGTGCTAAAAGGAGGCAGTCTATAGCTGCCTGATTTTCTATTAACACTTCCCTAACTTGTCCTACTTCTTGACTGATACTGATGGCACTAAAGGCTAGAGAGTTGGCATTCAAAGCCTTTACCACAGTGCGGGCTGATCTACTTATTTCTGTATTCAAAGAGGTTACCATGACTGGCATTACACATAAAAATATATTCAGCGGGGCAAGAAAGGAGCAAATCACTGTTACAATCAGGTGCATGGGAGAGCTCCCTTGGAGCCCGTCAGTCTTCTAGAGAGCATGGTCCCCTGGAACTGTTTGCTGGAACACAGGAATAAACAGTCCTTCCATATATTAGAGACAATCCTGCAGGCAAGTTGACGTGACCAAAGGCATAAGGTACATTAGTGGTGGTGTTGCAATTCACCTCCACGCCTCCTGAAAGCACAAAACAATTTTTAGTACAGTTGACAAAAGTTGCACAATCCTCAGTTGGGGCTACATTAGTAACTTTTTTTTTTAATTAAATCTTTATTGTTCAGGTTACATTTGTTCCTCTTTTTTTCCCCCCCATAACTCCCCTCCTCCCAGTTCCCGCCCCACCCTCCGCCCTCACTCCCCACCCACTGTCTTTAGAGTTACCACACGTCTCCAGTTATAAATATCAGGCCCATATTGTTTTCTTAGCTTTTCTAAATGTCAAAAGGCCTCCATTTGCTCCTTTTGTGAAGGTAACTGAGATCATTCACCTGGAGGGAAGAGTTCCCAGTGGATAAAAGAAGGTGGTAACAAACTTGGATACTTTGATATCAGATTTTTTGTTGTTAATCCTCACTCAAAGATATTTTTCCACTGATTTTCTACAGAGTGGAAGGGAGGGGGACAGACACAGAGAGAGGAATATTGATGTGAGAGAGACATATGCAACTGAGGTACATGCCCTTGACCGGAATTGAACCTGTGACCCTTCAGTCAGTGGGCCAAACCCTCTATCCACTGAGCCAAACCAGCCAGGGCTGGGATCATATACACTAGTATATATATTTTTAATTTTATTGATTTCAGAGAGGAAGGGAGAGGGAGAGAGATAGAAACATCAATGATGAGAGAGAATCACCAATGGTCTGCCTCCTGCATAACCCCCACTGGGGATCTAGTCAAGAAACCCGGCCATGTGCCCTTGATGGGAATCAAACCTGGGACCCTTCAGTCCGCAGGCCAACGCTCTATCCACTGAGCCTATCCGGCCAGGGCTGGGATCATATTTTTAAAAAGAGCTTTAGATCTGGATTATGACAGCGGAACCCTGGGTCTTGTAAACATTGATCAAT